CTCTCTAAAATCCTGTTGAACAAACTAGATAGAAACTCCACTGCTGTCTCTCCTAGACACTTCCACACCTCTACAGGTATGTCATCTGGACCAACAGCCTTTCCACTCTTCATCCTCCTCAGAGCCTTCCTCACCTCATCCTTTCTAATCTTTGCTACTTCCTGCTCTACAATATTCACCTCTTCCCCCTTCTTTCCCTCTCATTTTCCTCATTCATCAGTTCCTCAAAATACTCCTTCCATCTTCTCTGCACACTCTCCTCACTTGTTAAAAGGGGCAGTCAGTGAACCTTCAAAATAATGAGCTGATTAAAAGTTATGTATTTATCTAATCGTGACTGACAAACTTAGCAATTGTAGTTGGTTCATTTTGGCATAAACTGATAGAATTTATGGTGAAAACACAAAGCTTCAGTCTCATTTATATTTCACAGCTTAGTGATATTATTTTGTCCACAGATGTACAAACATTTGTATTTGTACAGCCATTAGATGACAATTAGGGTTCCTGTTATGTAGAATTATACTGTGTGTGTACCAAAACAGATAAAACACAAGCAAACAGGTTTGAAAGAGAATATGTAACCCAGAGCTGATAGTGAAAGCAGCTGCTAGCTGTAAAAAACAGTAACACCCATCTGAAAAGAAAATATGCCACAAAATACACTAAATCTATAATTACACAGAGTAAACACTGGTGACTGGACACCCTAATTACTGAAACAAGAAGGATTATGTAGATTAGCTGTTAATGCCGAGCAGCCTTCCTATCCTGGATGCTTAAACCAGGATTTGATTGTTTATCTTTGACTAAAAGATATGAATGCACAATGATTTCTTTCATTGTTAGGTTAAAGATAATAGAACCAAAAGGAGGAATGTGTATGTGCAGGAACCTAATTAGGATACCAGAACAAAGCATTCATGCAAAGATACTGTTAGATTCTAACCTCTTTGTCAGAAATCAACCCAATTCTTTAGTTGGAGCACGAGAAGTGACGACAGGAGAGGACTGTTTAAAATCAACAGAAAGTTTACTGAAAGTCTGGTTACAAGAAAGTCTCACAGCGCTGGATTCAGAGAGATAGAGCTCCCGCAGGAATTCCAACTTCTGAACCCCGAGTCATGTTTTCACATTACATTTATGCATTTTGGGCTAGGTCCGCCCCACGAAACCAGGTGTGTATGTGTTGTCGTATGACTTTCCAGGCGGCAGCCAAACAATGGGTTTTCTATGTCGCAGACCCCCCATCTGTGTAATCCCATTACATAACAAAGCAGGACCTGCGTGCAGACCCTGAGTGTATACAGAAGTTAAAGTGATCAGTTTATACTTCAGTATCACCTGACTCCCATCAGCACAAATGGAATTAAATGTATTAAAGTAATGAAGGCTCAGTAATTCTGGTCAATCATCAGTACAGTTTTACCATGTGTAAGCAAGGAAGGTAAACATATGAAAAGTACCTGAAAGACAATGATGAACAGAAAAGTAACTAAAGATTATAAAGTAACTAGGGCCTATAAGAATCAAGTCTTGCACTATTCTCCATTTAATGTAAACCGGAGCCTCTTTGTCTAGGTGTGTGTGTGTGTGTGTGTGTGTGTGTGTGTGTGTGTGTGTGAGACAATAAGCTGACGTATCACCTCATTCAAATTGTAAGACATATAAGCAAGGAGAATGACTGTGTTAGAAAATAACCAGGGCTCAGTAATGCACAATAATCAATACAGCTGTAATCAGGTAAGATAAAGTTATGAAAGGTAACTAAAGGGAACTAAAGGCATGAGAGGTAACTAAAACTGATAAAGTAACTAGAGTCTATAAGACTCAAATCTTACAACGTGATGTTAATGTTTGAGTGGATTCATCTGGTAAAAGCTGCGCTTCATGGCACAAACTGAACAGTGTTTGAAGTGTGAGCAGCTTGCTCTCCATTGACTTTCACTTCAAATTCATGTGATTGTTTTGTCCATTAATTTGTATGAGTGTGAATGGTGGCAGCAGTGCGACTATGCATTGTGGCTGCATAGCGTTGCTCGCTATTCATGCTTTGTTCTCGGATAAAAGTGTTAACATAGAAGAAAGCACAATTCATTTAAGCTCATTATGTGGCTGAGGTGCACTGGCTGCAGAGCTGTCACTGGCAAAGCCTCGGATGGAGGTAATGAGAAAAGTGTTTCTCTTCTCCAAAGCTCCTGAATACCCTGGC